TCCCTGCCTCCCTAACCTGTTCTTCCTCCCACCTATCCCCTCCTCCCACCTCAAGCCGCACCTCCATCTCCTACCGACCAACCTCATCCCGCCCCCTTGACCTGTCCGTCCTCCCTGGACTGACCTATCCCCTTCCTAACTCCCTACCTACACTCACCTTTACTGGCTCCATCCCCGCCTCTTCGACCTGTTTGTTTCCTCTCCACCTATCCTCTCCTCTATCCTCTCCTCTATCCGCCTCCCACTCTCTCCCTATTTATTTCAAAACCCCCTTCCCCTCCCCCTTCTCTGATGAAGGGTCTAGGCCCGAAACGTCAGCCTCTCTGCTCCTATGATGCTGCTTGGCCTGCTGTGTTCATCCAGCCCTGCACCTTGTTGTCTCGGATTCTCCAGCATCTGCAGTTCCTACTATCTCTGGAGAAATTCAGCAGGCTGGACAGCATCTGTGGAGAGAGAATCAGGGTTAGCGTTTCAAGCCCAATATTTCTTCAGAACTTTATTATTCCAAAAGCTGACATTCACTGAGAAATTGCACTTTTCATACACAGTGTCAAAGCTTTACTTCCTGAAATGTATAACTATAAATTATTGAGGTAAATTACTTATTTAGAAAAAAAACTTATTTAGAAAATACATTATATGTCCATCACATTCTCACGCTAATGCACCCTGATTTCTTCTCACAGGTGAAAAACTACTCCCACAGATTGATGCAGAGATAAAATAGCACAGCAGTGATAATATAGACTAGACCCCAATAGCAGAACAATAATCCAACTGATATACAAGTTGGTTGAATATTTAAAACAGGATGAATATTTAAAAGAAAGGAAAAACACCCCAGGAAATTCCTGGGGACACAAATTTAGATTTTCTCCCCTCGTCCATTGCATGTAATTTGTATCAGGGGAGGGAGTGAGGGTAGTGACTACATTCCTAGTGGATTTCTCTCAATCACACACCTGTTGCCATTGCCTAGCACTGCCAGGGGAAAGTGGCATTTGGCCCCAGCAATGTAGCCATAATGACCCTGAGGTCTCTTTATAGATTGGAGAGGACCATGTTGTGACCGCTCCCTTTATTTAAGCTGCTATTTACTTTCTTTTGTAGTCCTTGGCTTCTGTGTTCAGAACTATTAAGCTTTCAATCTGCAGATATTTGAAACACCTCTATCTCTTTCACTGCTCAGCCATCTCCTGTTGATTTGCACAAGTACTGTAGCAATGTTGAGATTTTGAAGTGGGGTAAATAACAGGCTTCCTCGTGATGTGGGCATGTCATTGGATGCTCACTGAGCATCTTTGGTGAATGCCCACTCAGAAAACTAGTACGTTGTTTCAATTCATGCCAGAGGTCTGAGTAGAAGTTACACCACATGTAGACTCTGACATCAGTAGGAGAATCGTTGGCACAGTATCTGATGTTAGATAAGTGAGATGATACCTCAAGCTCCTTTTGCCTCTCCTACATCGTAAGAAGCAGTGAATACAAAAGTTGAAGACTCGGAGAAAATCCCTAGGTTATAAAGTCAGCTCTTCCATTGAAGATGTTTCTTAATAAATAAAGTTCAAGCAGACATGTGGCTACAAAAACAGGTCAAAGGCTTGGAATTTTGTGGCGAATAACTCACCTACAGATTCAATTCC